ATATGGTGGTAAGAATTTCCTAAAAGGAAACGATGAAACAGGAATAGCCGTGCGAAAACCCAGGTCAATATCTGCTGGAAGTGCTGGTTTAAGTATACTGCTTTGCTTTTTACTTGGCTAAATAGATACTTTCAAATTATAATTCACATGAATTATATATCCACTGAGAAACCCCGGTTGGCATCAAACTTTATATTTTTAAATAACTATGGGCACACCAAAACAACTCGCGGCGATGGCAAAACTGAAACTGAGACAAACAAGCCTGGGCATGTCATAGCATACACTTTTCTTTCTCTACCTAGCGCAGTGATCGACATGCCATAGCTTACTGAGCGCTCTGTGACCACACGCGTGTTTCACCCAAGATTGATAGAATACAAGATTGCGCCAATGAGAGAGGATTTTTGAGCGTAGTTTTTGCGTGACGTCATCTTGGTGCAATTGCGAGAGAGAAATGCGAAAACGCATATAAAGATATGTAAACAATGCAGAAAATTGTATTTATTTTAATATTACATGGCCCAATTTTGCAGGAATCAATAAATATACAAAGATTGGTTAATTAGGAACACGTAGCAATTATTTTGGACATGTAGCTTTTTAGGTAAGTACGATTTTTAGCACATGAAAAAATGGATGTATTAACAGTGTTTGAAATTTCATGTAGACCAAAAGGAAGGTGTGCCAAAAAGTGAGTTTTAGGACTCGCCATTGTAAAAAGCCATGCAGAGTGCATATTTATATTTGTGGACGGTAGCCAACCACCATAAACTCTACAGCGGTTGACTCCACAGCTTTTATTTGATGACTTTTGTACCATTTCCGAGAGGATGCATGAGTGTGGCTTCTTTGGAGACCAATATTCTATGTAAGTAAAACATAATTTCAGCTGAACTTTTAAATGTATAATAATTTGGGCACTGTTTTGTATTAGGTATGTAACAGCGCGGTAAGATGCCGCTTGAATTAGCGCATGGCGACCTTATCCACTGGTGCATTACCTTATACCAGCACTAAAAAGAATCAGGTAATAACAAAAATAAGTAAGTAGTCAAGTTCATGTATCTATTTACTGTATAAACTGCTTTTGTATGTATGCCATTGCCAGCAAACTTCCCCAGCAACTGTCTACATTTACCATGGAAATATACCTACTACAATTCACCAAGGAAAGGCCAAAATAGTTCCATGTAGAAGCTCATAGCTCACACATATAGCACAAAGATCGATTTGGTGTTTGGTTTGTTTGCGTCCGTAGGAAACGAAAAAAAACTTATATCGCACGCTTTCCTTTTGTTTTCACTATTACACTTTGCCACTGCACACTTCATTTTGCTTTGTAATGTCTCAATAATTGTTTAAAACCACGCAGAAATATTAACGCACAAATATTAAAATTGTCATTTGGTTTTTTCGTATGCTCACAATCAACAATTGCACCAAGATGACGTCACGCACACAACTGGTTCCGTTAAAATCACAAAGAGCGGATTAGCGGTACCGCGATTGGCGCAATCTCTATTTCTCTCAATAGTGTGTTTCACCCATATACGAAGAGCGGTAGCGGAGCAGTGATTACCATTCACACAGTCTCATTCATTGAATCGTTTTTATGCAATGGTCCTAGTATGCCGACCATTGCATAAAAACGCATTCAAACGATTCAGTAAGTGGGACTGTGTGCATTGCTCAGCTGGCGCTCTTCGTATGCGAAACACATAAACGCTCAGAAAGCGCTGAGCATTATTTAGGGGTGGCTCACAAGCATGAATATGTTCCGCTCTCAAACCAAATCGTGGTTGCCTCAACTAAGATTTGGTAACTATGACTAGGGACACGAATGTCGATACGATACGATACCATATCGATACTATTGGCATTCGATACCGATATTTTCTACTCGATAGTTTTAAAACGATACTTTTTGGAATCGAGTACCAGAACCCTAGTATCGTATCGAATGTCATAAACTCAAATTCCAACACTGAGAGAAAAAATTTTAGAATTAAAAAAAAAACGTGCTAAATCGAAAAAAATACGCATATGAAAGAGCACCAACCCAACTCGTTTTAAATTTGAGTATATACGTTATAAAATATATGGTTGTGAAGTGCACAGATGCTTTTTCGTAATTAAGAAGAAAAAAAAAAATTATTTTATGTTCCGTCTGATGGTAATTGGACCCGGACCCTCTTGGCCGCAACCAATTGTATCAAGCGTCTTTGCACACTCAGCTATAGCCATACATGTAAAGGTGTTTTCAAATGTTGAGTTTGAATCAACATCACAGCGCGCGATTAGTGCATTATGTCATACCATGTATGTGTTGTCACCGCTGTGCATGCTTTGTATACATATACTTTCTTAATTACATATGAAAAAGCATCCGAGACGTGCAAAACGCCATCCGTGTAGTGAAAAATGCTTCATTTTAATACGGGCGTATTTGAATTGAATATTTCCATTATATGTACGTAGTGTATGTATAATGGAAAAATCCATTTTGTTAAGACTTTTCACTTGATTTAAATACGAACATTTTTAAACGGTAATCAAATAAAAGATTTTTATTCTTACAACGCGTTTTTTTTCTCAGTAAAGGATAATGTTATTAACAGCTCAACCTAATATTACCGGCGAGAGTTTTTCTACGCACGCACGCAAGTTTTTCTCATTTGATAAGCCCAAATCAATTTGCGTGCGTAATTTCTCAGAGTTGCATTACTGTCATATTTACAGAAGTTTGCCGAGAAAAATTTGAATTCATAGTCGCGCCAAAATGCCAATTGAGCATAAACGTCAAATCGAAATGTCACGCAAGACAAATCTTGGAATTTGAGTTAGCTTTTTACGCACGCATATAAGGTTGGCATGTAACAATTCTTCCCGATATAAATTGGGCTTTAAAGTGCAGAAATTTGTACTTTGGTTAGGATTGCATGTGGTGGGATTTGAACTCGCGGCCTCGGTGTTTAAGTCAACACCTCAATCTCTACCTGTTGTAATAATAATAAAGTCCGGCGCTTACACAATATCTTAGTGTTTGGCCGAACTTCTCCTCCGATGTGTCGCGTGGGCCTTAATGTTGTGGCACAAAGGGGGTACCTACAGTTTTATGTCGACTCTTAACGGCGATTGTATTTTATGGGAAACTGTTTTTCATTTTCAAGGTTTGCGCACTTCTAACCACTACACCCCAGTGGCCTATATGCGAGACCTATATTCAGATAAATTTTTTGGTTTTTGGTATCGATATTTCGAATATCGAGTCTTTTTATTCCGATATTAATGGGTACCCGATATTTTTAAAGCGATACTTTAAATGAGTACCATATCGATACTTTCGGTTCGATATCGTGTCCCTAACTATGACTAAACCATGTGTTGAAAGAAAGCTTGTCTGTATTAGCAGAGCTTAATGACATCCTTTTATGAACCATACGTTAAATTGAATGGAATTTGTAGAAATATGCTTCAAAAAAATATTTATTAGTATTTACCAAACCCTTTAACTAAATTAACGATTTGGTAGAACCTAGATGTATAATAAAAACTTAAATATATTTAGTTATAATTACCAACCCAATCCTTGGTCATTTTGTCAAAATTCGGGAACTAAATATCTTTAGTTGTCGAAACTAATCCTTT